TATTTTCCTTAAAATTGTCATGTAACAGTAACCGAATATGGTGGATAAATATTTTCCCTTCTTCTATGCTATGCTTCGTGTCATATTTCAAAAATTGAAGAATTTTTTCTATAAGAAATTCTTTAAGATGAAAATATTTATTCATCTTATCCATGCTGAAAAAATAGATTAGCATGTACACGACCATATTCTTTAGTCTCCACAATTCTGATATCTTCAGCAAATCAATCTCGTAACTGTCGTAATTCACATTTTTGTAAAATTGCTTCCTTGCTGTTTGGAATTGATTTCGAAAGAACACACTGCGGGTATCACCAAATGGGGCGCCTAACTCGTCCCCGTAATTATCATTTAGGAGGTAAGCGATGTGCGCATTGTAGTCGCAGCGGTTTCTGGAGCTCTTCTGAGAGCTCTTACTCACATCAACCTTCTGCGTCTTATCAGTAGAAGCATCAATGGAATGCTTGTCCCCTTTCTTGACTCCCAAATCCTTAATACGCGCGTCTTCGCAAGGCAATGGGACGTTATCCTGCGCGTTACTCTCAACAAAATTGCACACATCAATGTCCCCCCTCTGGCAAAATTGGGAATTGCCTCTGATGGATTTCCTCCCCAAAACGGTCCTATCCTCGAGCAAATAGCTGTAAACCCTTTCGAATTTACGTGGATATAAAACACTCTCACAACGATCGCTCCACCCGGGGGCGTTTTCCCCTATGGACAAGTGAGTGTCCCAAAAATGGTAACTGTACGACGTTTTACAAATCATATCTCTTGAGCAGTAAATATATTCTAAGTAGAACGGTCTGGAATACTTAAAGTCCCTTATATGAATCAGGGACAAAATTTTGCACAAAATTTTGACGTAATCTTCATTACTCTTTAACAAATTCGGATATAATTTCATCAAAACATAATTTGAGAATATTATTTCTCTAACTACCTTTAGGGAATCCCTACTGCTTCGCACGCACCCAACTTTTCTGTGCCTTCTCCTATAGACATTTATTGCCGACTTGAGAAACTTCCCTCTTTTAACCTTACCAACGAGCCTCTTGTAAAAGGCCTTCAGAATATGCAAAGAAACAACATTCACATATTTGTAAATGTCGAACAGTATCAAATCCTTCTTATGTAGCTTGCATATTTCAGTAATTATTCTTATACAGATAATTGTGAGTTCTTCATTTTGCTTCACGATGAGATTCAAACAAATGTCAAAAATCTCTATGATGTATTTTATTTTTTTAAATTTATGTATCATGGAATAGAAAATGTTAAGTATACTCTTCCGAAAAATGTACGTCCTATTGCGGTAATAGCACGGGACGCTATCACGTATGTAACTTTTGATTAAGGGGTACACATCCATTAGAAAGCAGTTCTCTTCTTTTTCGCTCATGTCTAGCAGGGCCATTCTTATCCTGTGTGCCCTTTTTTTCGCACACCTTCCATCTTGGAACTTTTCATTTTTTCGCAGGAACCTCTTCATCACCAGTTCTTTTTCCAGTGCTTCCTCCATCTTGTCCCCGCACAATCATTTACGTCTTTGCTTGGGTATCAACGTGTGTATCGACGCCAAAATCGGGATACCTTTTTCGCGCGCCCTTCTGCCTACCTGTCTTCTCACTCGAGCGCCACGTTTTCCCGTGCACGTATATATATGTACATGGATATTTGTGAAAAGTGCTGATAATCGTCTGCAAACGTATCAGTTACGGTCCTCTCAACCTTGAATTCGTTCCGTCCATATTTTCCAAAGAGAAAGAATGAAACGGAACATTTATGTCACTAGGGGAAGCCCCAAACGGGCATTCGCTCCGGAGAATTCCAAAAAGGATGGCGAGCGAAAGCTGTCACTATGAGGGTGAGAGCACAAGGGCGACTTAAAAAGGCAACCGCGTAAAAAACATAGCAAAAATTACGATCATTAAGAATGGTGTACAGCGCATAAAGGAGGCTTATGCTTAGTAGCACAACAAAAGTGCAACAAAAAAAACAGCACATGAATTTTTCGGATAAAAACAAATGGAAAAAAAAAAGTTAAACAGGTTAAGAAGGTTAAAAAAAGAACATTACAGAAAAAAATGTGTTCGTTCGTTCTTTTATTTTTTTCTTTTCCTTCTATTTATTTATATTTTTTGGCACATAAAAGTTTAATCAAAACAAAGGGACCATGGTGAGACAAAAATGTACTTAAGTATACAAGCGAATATACGCAGCGAAGTGTACACGCAATTCCGTCCTTCACAATATGCATCCCCTTATGCATCGCTCTAGGCATCAGGAAGCAGTATACATACGAAACTTTTGAGGAGTTCGAGTAGATTCAAAACAAACATATATTCACATGTTCGTGAAACATATCTGCTGTTCATTCATGTTTGTCATCAATTTACACAAATACATTTTTATTTTAATGCATATCGGAGTGGGTATATACATTAGAGCATATGTACCTTTACGTGTACACGTACTGACTTAATGATCCTTACTTTACATTTGTTTACATAAACAATTACGCAACATGGGGAGGTGCTCATATTAAATAATAAAACACAAGAAAGTTTGGAAAAACGCAATTTTTTTTCTCTTGTTCCCTTATGTGTATATATTAAAAAAAAAAAAAGAGAGAGAAATAAAATTCCCCCAATTTTGATACATAATTTTCCATGTAACTTTAAAAAATTCCCGCGAAATTTCTTATGTACATAAAATAGCAACTTATAGCAACGAGGATGTAAAAGAAAAAAAAAAAGAGAAATTTACGCTCTTCACATATATGAACTCATTAAATAAAGAAATATATCTATAAGTTTAAAATAAAAAAATGCAGAAAATCAAGGGGTGTCATGTGACACTCGAAATTTTTTCCTTTTATTTTTTCCCCCAAACCAGTAATGTGCAATCATTACGTAGTATTATAAGGGCTCACACCATTATGACAATTTTGGGGGGGAGTTAAAAAAGATTATTTCATACGATAAAAATCCGGCCGAAGTGCGAAATACCCTCACTTGGGGTTTTAAATGTATCATTATTAATTAAATGGCGCCATGGCTAGTTGCACAGGGAAAATACCAAGAAAATTCTTATAATATGTATATTGTGTATGTGTCACGCATAAGTTTGGCATGCGCCCGCCATACGTTTGGCTACCCTTGGCATACGCTCGCCATACGTTTGGCTACCCTTGGGATACGCTGGCTTACGTTTGGCTACCCTCGGGATACGCTCGGCATACGCTTGCCATACACCCGGCATGCTAATACGCGCAAAGTGGCATCAAAAGAATGCGTATGGTTCAAAATGCAGCGAGCTGAAGTGGGGTCTATTACATGGGCAAGGATGTTTATAGGAATTATATTCATACGTAGCGTTACTTTTTCCATGTGATACTACAAAACTTGCTCATTTTTTTCAAGTATGAAAATTGTAATGGAGGAAAAAAAAAGGGGCGTCATCAAAGATGAACTTTAAAGGGGTGAAATTAAATGGGTGTTAATTTAAAAAAAGTGAGAGGGAAAATTAAAATTTGACTTAACATAAAAACCGACCTGAAAATTAAAAGCAAAATTCACGTGAAAATTAAAAGCAAAATCGACGTGGAAATTTTAAAAAGAAAATCTACGTCAACTTCAAAAGTAAAATAAGAATAAAAAAGGGAACAAAAAAGAAAATAACAAAGTGACAAAACAGAAAACGAAACAGCCCTTTGCACAACCTTATGACCATAAATATAAATGCGTGTTGTACACCTTTTAACGTATTTTTTAATCTACATGTGTAGGTAAAAAAGAGAAAAATAAAATAAAATAAAAACGACAGCACTATGTACCCTATATACCTATATGTTTTCCTTCGTACAAGCATCACATAATTTTTTGCACACTTTTGACTACTCCCCACGTGGGTTATATTTCCGAACAATTACACGTATTCATAATAGGATACCTTCATTTCATCGCTTAATTCTCCCGCACAAAAAGGTTAAGAATTCTTAAACTTCATATTGATAATGCATCGAAAATTTTGTTCTTTATCAAAATGCGCTCGTTTCATTATAACGGTGAACCCAAGTTTTTATGGAATATAAAATCAGCCAGAAAAAAGTTTGAACGCTTCCAAACATTTAGGGCGCACCTTCGTCTCACTTCCTTGCAACAAGTTTGTGGAGGAGTCAATCAGTCGATCAATTAGCTAGCCTATCACTGAACAAAAATCGACTTGTCAGCCCTTTTGTTAATTTTTTCCTACGTAATAGAAATGCTAATGCAAAACAAATTAACAATACAGACCTGTTTTCTGCCGCTGTTCCATCCTGAGTGTTCCTCAAATAAGGTCTTAAAAAGAAAAAAAAAAAAAAATTCACTGTTCAATGAGAACGATGGTTTAACCGGTAACCCTCTGTCGATAAAGAAGTATTCATATATATTGGAACACATACACGTGTATATAGATAGGCGCATGTTCATGCATACATGGGTATTCTCTACACCTCGATAACACACAAATGGCATCCAATAAGGGCATAAAGAGTTGAACGTGAAATGCGCCCCTCCACTACTATCAGAAAGAACAACATATAGGAGCAATCCCCGCACTATTTCTCTAAGTGGTTCATTTTCATACTAAATAGATGAACGCTCACGAAAAATGTTTTAAGAAAAATGTTTTTTATAATAATCGAAATTGCTGTTTGTCTAATTCACAATCAAATGCGCATGGCGCAAGGAAAAAAAAAAAAAAAAAGTACGTCAGAGTGTAATATCTCCATGTACATATAATTAAAAAAACTGCTATATGGATACAAAAAGGTGAGGAGTAGCAGAAAATCTTCTTGTGACAAAACGCTTATAGATAGCGAGCGCCTATGTTCTTCGAATTCCATTACCTTTTTTCGTGCTCTTAAAGAATATAAGCAAAGTGTAAAAAAGGCTAAAGGAAATAATCGTATAAACATTATTTAAGCATAACACATTTCCTCATTTTTTTAAAAAATGGAAAATGAAATTGTTTTGAGCGAAAAAGTAGAAGAACTAAAAAATTTGATATACCTGCATGACACTCCTTTCAGTCATCTAGACTTCATGGTTAGGGATAGAACCCGTTGACACCCCTCCTGCAACGATGTCTTTGTGGCACAAGCGAATGTGGGCACATACATGCCTACACCAGCGCCTGTCCACACTTGCATACACTGGAATCCCCTTTTTGAACGAACCCGTTTAGAAGGTGCCATGTATCCCTTGCTGTGTCTTACCCGGCATGTCCTTCCTAAACACGCGGGCCCAGGAGGAACACAAAAATGGATATAGAGAAGATGAGGTAAACGCTTTTTTTTTTTCTCTCCTCTTTTGAAATGACTTGTAGAAAAAAAAAGGTTTATTCGTAATACGTGTGTGTGAGTATGCCCCGTACATTCACATGTCATAGCCGTCCCTCTTCACACCTCTTCCTAAAGATCAACGAGACTGATGAGCTACTAGTCGAATACTTCTACGCAAAGAGGCTATACCGAAGCAGTTTAGTAAAAATAAAATTCCCCGAATGTTACGAAATGGCTGGAGCTCTTTTATCAGATGCGACCGCAGCATCCGTCGGAAATTTGACCCATCTCTATTTTGAATTAGGAACCGAATTATGCCACATGTTAAGCATAAAGAGATAAGAAATAATCACCCGTCGGATAACCTACTAAAAGGTGTCTCTATCATCAACAAAGGGTGCCTGAAGACGTTCACATATAGTTTAACGATTCTGTGACATGTGTATTTTTTCACCTTTCGCTGATTTTAAAAATAATCAAAAGCTTCGCATGATAGTTAATTAGAGCAGCCTTTTGGAAAATTACCCCACATATTACACCCTTCCAAATTCTATGTTGTAATACCCTCAGGCTTCCCGAAAACGAATGGCCAGTGGAGAAGCTGGAGGAGCTCCTGCTGATTGCGGAAATGCGCAGAAGGGTTTATCTAATGAAACATAATGACCAGGTGGACCAAACATACTTGGAAGGAATGACTTTCATGGAGAGGAAAAGTAAATCGAAAAATGCGCATGCAAAATGTGAGCTGACGTTTGTTCGTGTGTGTGCACATCTGCATTAGAATCTGCATTGGCATCTACGCCGCTTTGAAGCCATCCCCCGCTGCTTATTTTTTAAAACGTCGCACATGGCATGCACTTCCCTTTACCCCCTTTCAACCCAGTGTTCAATTCATTCTCAAAGGGAACCGATGTAGACAAGCAAAAGGCGACATCAAACAGGAATATTTTTAACTTTTTTGAATTCGATTTATGATCATTTCCTGTGTTAAACAAAACGTTCTTTTTGAACGAAAAGATTTGATCGATTACTCGATGAAGAAGTCCTCGACGAGTTCATTTGCTCACCCGCCCATTTGTTAATCCGTCTCATGTGCCACACCAACACATTGCTACAATGATCATTACTATTATGATTATTAAATGTGTTACAATATGCTCTGTTGATTATTATCGCTATTATTATTATGGCTATTATTATTATGGATATTATTATTATGGATATTATTATTATTATTATCATTATTATTATTATTACTATCATTATTATTACTATCATTATTACTATTATTATCCGTATTAGTATCATTATTTCACTTTCTGAATATTTTTGCCGCCCATTCGGTCGCAGCTGCCACGCCGTTTTCAATTGTCCTTAAACTTATAAAACGTTCTTAAGGCCTTTTTAAGTCAAACGAGAAAAAAAATGTGTTTATACGTGCGATTAACAAAAATGGAAATTTGGGGGATGCAAAGGTGCAAAGTTTTAGCCCCTTCCCCCTTTCGCTAATTGTGTGTACTACCCGTACAAAAAAAGAAACACCAAATTGTGCGCGGCACGCTTTAAAGCAGCGAAATGGGGGAAAAATATTTATATACATATATGGGTACTTATTTTGGGCCCACTGCTAACCTGTTTAGTCCCTTCAATTTTCAAGCATCAACATGTCGTCGGGCTTAACGTGGTATTCCAAGGGCAGCCCGTAACGGACGTAGAAATTGTCCTCGTTTGGTATCTTCTGCAGAAGTAATTCTAAAAGGTAAAAAAAAAGAAAAAGAATTATGTCAACATTTGGCGCGTACAAACTGCTTAAAAAATACCACACTTGCATTAAAGCGTCACGTGCAAACTAACATGAACAAGCAAATATAAGAATGGCAAAATTGCGGAATGTGAACCCCCCCAGGGATACCCCCCTCGGAGACACATGACCCTTGAATACATTTATTTGCAGCCTGTTTTTTTTTTTTTTTCATTTCGCCTTTCTCTTGAATTCGAATGTCTTACCTTGGTCGTTGCACGTGTACAGCAGGCACACGAAGAGCATATGGATGGATGTGCCGTTCACCTCTGCTGGGTTCATCTTTGATTTGGTCTGCCGGAAGGGGACGCATTTGGGGGGGTCGTATGCACGTGTGGTAAGCACATCACATAAATGTAGACGGGGGGCAGCGCATATAGATACGCATCGACGCATGCACAACGAAAGGCTCAGTTTACCGCGCTGATAATGTCCTTAAAAGTTGTCGTCTTTTCCTCAACGTAAGGAACAATCTAAGCGTATGTGGGGAGGGGGAAAATGATGGGCAATTTTAGTTCGTTCGTACAAACGTATTCACGCATGTGTACGTTTAGGTGTATACACTCATTACTGCATCGATGCCGCTAATTCCGCCGATAACCCTGGGCTAAACCTGCGCTACCCCTGCGCTAACTCTCCACTAACTCACCTGGTCGTTCCCCTGTGCTCGAACCTGTGCGTCACTCGCCTCTTTCCCCGAGGGTTTCACAATGTCGCACAAAATTTTCTTTATTTTCGAGACATCCACAAATTTTGCTACATTTTCCATGTTCGCATTTCCAAGTGTGCTGCCGCGCGAAACACTTTGGCGCAGCTGCAGAGCAGATGCATTCTCATTCTTGCTGCCCTGCTTGGATAAATGATTTTCATTTTCGTTCTGCCATATATCCTCAAAATCCATGTTATAGAATTTATCGATGGCGTCATTTAGCCCTTCCTGCATGTGACAATCCTGGTGGTCATCCATATGCTCTGGAAACATGCATTCCATATTTTTTTCTTCTGCGTAGTTTATTTGTCCCATATCATTTGTCACAAAATCGGAGTTCACTTCGTTCAGAACGACATTTAATTTAAGGTCGCCACTGTAGTCACTGGGTGCGATCATTGCCGCTTTGGAAAACTTCATAATTCTATCCGTAACCGTGTTGACGCAATTAATGCAGTTATCCTTCGTTTCAAATATGTAGGAAGTTTGATCGATGGAAAAAAGAGCATTCGATACGTATTTCTTTTTTTCCTTCTTCCATAAATCGTACGTAGATAATTCTACGTCATTTATTTCTTTATACAGATTTTCAAAATCGATAAGTGACACATCGAAGGAAGCCTTTACTTTCTTCTGTACTACGGAGTGTAGTACCATGTGCTTGTTCTTAAGAGTCCCTTTAGCTATATCCATTAGGTTCCTAAAATTGCCATGAGCCATTAGCTTACTAGGAACATAATAATGGTAATTAAATTTGTTATTTACGTCTATTGCTTTAAGTCTGTTTTCGAAAGTCATGACATTGCGGTTCCAGAGAGTGTCGTCATCTGGAATGGTTGCTATTAGACCTTTTCTCGTGGGACTTCCTCCTTGGTTTTTAAAAAAGAAACTATTTTGTGTACTCATGGCGACGTTCCCCCCTAGAGAGTTCATTAGACTGAAATCTTTATTTTCACTCTTCATGAGTTCTGGTAAGGGAAGACCCGTCATTGTGTTACTTCCTTGCTGAAATGATAAAATGCTTTGGGAATAATTTAAATTATTTCCAACCGAATCGTTTAAATTCATATTGTCAAAAGCTAGCGATTCTTGCATCACATTTTCTATGTTCAAATCTTCTATTTTGTAATCATTCAAATTCATACTGTTGTTGTTTACACTGCTGTTCAGCATCCTTCCATCACCCACACTTGCGTTATTAAAATCGCTGTCGTCTAGTAAATTATCCATTGTCAGATTTCCACCTAGACTTAATGCCAAGTTATTTTTAGCACGTTCCCCCCCGTAGTAGTCCCCTTTATTCATACTTATATTTTCCACGTCATTCAAGTTATAGTCATACCTATGACTATCATCATCATCGTCGTCGTCTTCATCCTCGTTGCCATGCTCGCCATCTTCTAATTCTTTCGAATCCGATCTCTTCATTTTGTGCTTACTTATTTCTGCCTTAAAATAGTCCAACTCGGGGCAAATGTTCAGGCTGTTAAAGTCTTCATTTCCCGCACCGAGGAGGATATCCCTCAATACGTCAGAATGGAGAAACAACTTCTTCTTGTAGCACTTCACCATTACGTCATTGCAGTCGCTATCGTGGCTGCTGCTACTTCGCACCATAAGGAGCGATTTGCCACCCGATTGCGTAGCAGCCGTGTCTTCATCCACCCCTTCCTCAGTGGTCTCGTCCATTTTTTTCCTCTTCTTATATTCACACGCGTCTATGTCTCCATCAAACTGTATAGACAAATCGTTATTCAAAATTAAGTTCGGCAACAAATAACTATTGCCGGATGAGTGATCATACGTACTGTTCAATTTTAAAAAGAAGGTGTCGACCGATATATTTGACACGGTAACCGAGTCCATGGTAATGTCGGACGACTTGGCCAAAGTGGACGACTCCTGCAAAAATTCTAACTTCCTTTTCTTTATTTTTCTATTCGAGATTTCGTTCACATTTTTTTTTTCTTCTATCAATTCTTCATTCACTTCGCTCTGCTTTGCTATATTCATATTGCTTAAAAAATTGTATGTCTGGTCATAGATGGCTTCTACTCTGTATCCATACACTTTCGTAGCCCCCTCGATCGCTTTGGACGCTCTTGTGAAGGACAGATTAAAATCCCCCGTTTCCAACATTTCATCGTTTAGCTCTTCATTGATTTCTTCATCATTTAAATTCACTAAATCTTCCAAGTGATCAATAATCCTTATGTCGAATGCATTCCTTGTGCATATCTTATTATGGGACAGTGCTACCATGCAGTTTTTAAAAACGTCATTTATTTCTTTCACCTTCGTTTTGTCACACTTGTCCAGATGATCCTTCTGATTAGCATCATTATTTCTGTTATTTAAAAAGGAAAGCCTTCTTAAGTTCTTGTTAAATTCTATGGGCTTTTTAAAAAGGTTTTCATTTTCATTTATCCTCGATAGGTTGGCCCCCGCTTTCGTCTTAACTCCCAGCTTTTTCATTCTTTTCAATTCTCCGTGTCGACGTGTTGAGTGTGTCTACGTATATGGCTAACCATCAACCGTAGCACCCACGGGAGTATATTCTCAAATGGGTGAAGAGGAATACCCCTCCACGAATTGTCTAGGTTTGTATTTCTTCAGACGTTCTGCTGATCCGTTTGGATTCAATACATAGATGTGGTTCAAAAGGTTAGTTACCGCTTTGGCAGACAAAAGGCTTTATTTAAATTCGAAACGAAAAAAATAATAAAAAAAATAAAAGGTCCACTCGTGAGCTACTTAATGCGGATGCGTCATAGCAAAACATTTCCAAACCATTTAATGTGTTCAATTTTCTTTTTTTTTTGTCATTCGCTTGGCAAATAAATGCAACTCGGAAAATCTTCACCTTTTCATATGCACTAAAAAAAAATTGCCTTTATGTACACATGGATAACCACGTACAATAAAAACACATGCGGTTACTAATTCACTGCTGTTCCACGCTTTTCTCTTTTCGTTCCTCGTCATTCCAGAGGTGTTTAATTTTTGCTGACACGGAGAGTCACGCGTATGTGTAGTTCATCACATAGGCATGTGTACATAGGCATATCCACATGCACACAATAACTCGACGTCAGCGCGAACAGTCATTTTTGTTCACAAAAATGTCCTTTGCCAGTTTAAATTTGGCTAACTCGAATATGCTTTTGCACATGTTTCATTTTTGTGTTACATCATTCGGCAGAAAGTTCAAAATGGACGAATGATAATGAGCGGTAAAAGAAGTTTTTCACAGAAAGTAAAAAAAAAAAAAATGATAAATAAATTTAGAAATTCCCCAAACGGGGTTTCTCCTTCAAATATAACAAGCGCAAAATGGCGCATAAACTTGTACGTCTTGCGTCAATGGATAATTTTTTTTTTCCCACTTCTGTCAACGCATGTATTCGTTCACATATCCATCGTTGTGCGAATTTTTACACGCGTAGTCTTCTTATCTTTATTTCGCCACTCATTTTCTACTTCTTTTTGTCCTTAACCTTCTGGCAATTTCAACCAGTTTATGCAAAATGGAAACAACCCCCCAAAAAAAAAAGAAAAACACGGTTAATAAATCAACGCGTTCTTTTTTTTGAAAAATATTTTTTATTTTAAACGTTTGAGGAGTGCGCCAGATCGAAGTGCGTTTCACTTCTTCCCCAAAACAGACAAAACGGACGTGCATATAAATACACATATATGCTGTTTTACGTACCTCCTTCTCGTAGTAATTTCGCACAAAAGGGAACCTCAAAGCCATTGTGAGATAAGGCCTTTCATGCAGCTATATTTCCCTCCCACACACGATGATTTCATGCGTCAAGCAAACGCCTAGCAGCAGACTCTGCTGTACCTCGTCCTCCCTCCAACGTACCAATAATTGAAGAGACACCAAACGGGGCATTATATTTTTTAAAACCCTGCGCCGTATTTAAAAGATCTTTTCAGGCAATAAATATGCTAAGTTAGTATGCGGGAGCAAATAAAAAAAAAAAAAAAAAAAAATTAGACCACACGCATTCCTCTTTTATGTTCACTAAGTATATGTAATCAAATGGCGATGCGAAGAACGTTATGAAAGAGGAGCTAGCTACTTGTTGCCAAGGGGATATATACACAAACGCCTGCGCCAGTTCGTGAGTAATTTCTCTGGGGAAAAATTCATTCGGAAAATGACATATAATACAAACCTGCTGAACGGATAATGCGCCAAAAAAAAAGGAAAAAGAAAATACCATAAAGGAAAATGCGATAGAATAAGACAAATGGGATGCAAAGAACTAAACTTGCATTTTTTAATAAGGGGGAATATTCTCCATTTTTGAGGCATACGGGCGGAACTCCAAAAATGCGTTCACGTAACGTTGCCCATGTGGTACATAAGATTCGCATGATGGATGCAAGCAGCTATGCTGATAGCACCCGTATGACACAGAAATGAATGCCACAGTTCCTTGTTACCCCTCTACAGTTCCCGCCTTGGCCAAAATAAACACAGGACAACTTCCTATGGGCGTACGCAAACAATTCGTTTCTGCGCTGACGTGTAATGTACGTATTTGTAAATGTGCTGACATGGGTGTGGCTACGCCCTCAGGGGACTTGATTCCTCCTATGAGGTATAAACTCCAAGCAGGAGCAATTAGACGGGCACACATTTTCGGCGACATTCCTCCCTAAAAACATACGAGCCACCTCCTCCAAGGAGGATATCCCCCTCCTCATTCACTTTCACTCTCCTCATTAAAGTTGTTTTTATTTTTGTTGTACGTGAACTGTGCCTCGTACAAATCAACAATCTGTTGCGATGTGGTGGCCTGCTCCGCATTCTTATCCTCCCTGAGCCTCAGAAACCTGGGAAAACGCAAGCCAATGCCCTTGTCATCCGAATAAACCCCGATGGCTGCAGTATGCACAGGTGAGAGAGACAAGTCGGCCGCTTTTACCTCCCATACGTAGTGTGCATCAAACCACACATCGGGATTTAACTTATCCGAAACTTCGTAATAGGATTTTTTGCTTGGTATAATTTTCCCACTCAAAGTTTCGTATAATGAGCCAAGAATTTCATCACTAAAACCGGTGCCTGCTTTACATACACTTTGGAAATTTTCAGTTTCTGAGTTGTAGGTGGCTAAAACGAATGCACCATACACTCCACTTCTTTTTCCTTTTCCATAATAACCCGCTATGGGTACTAAATCTACCGAGTCAGATAGTCCTTCTATATAATCCTTTTTGACCTTCAACCAATTTAATGATCTTCTTGATGGTTCGTAAGACGCATTATCCAGCAGCGTTTTCACCATTAGCCCTTCACAATTATTCTCAATTGCATCTTGTAAAAATATATCAATGTCTTCTATATTGTTCATTTCGGAGTGCGTTGCATAACACAGCACTCCATCCTTACATTTCAGTAATGAATACAGAAGTTTCCTCCTAATTTCCAGCGGCTCTTTAATAACGGGCACCCCATTACAACAAATCAGGTCAAACGGAAACAGACATATTTTAACTTTTATATTTTCAATGTCGACATCTTTTCTCTTTCTTGTGGTCAGCACCTGAAATGGTAATATCTTTTTATTCTCTATGTCATAGGCCACAACTTCGCTATCAATAATGCAATCTGTAGCACCGCTGATAATTTGATCCCGCACTATTTGAATAACGTCTGGATATTTCTCTGTCATGGTTTCTAAATTTCGGCTAAAAATTTTTATATTGTTCTTATCTATGTAATGTATTTGAGCCCTTTCTCCGTCATATTTATACTCACACGTGAATGTCACATTGTTGAAACGGTCGAGTACTTCTTGTATTCCTTTCGTCGGCTTGGCTAACATAGGTTGCACAGGTAGCCCCGCTTTGACTGTGCACTTTTTGCTTAACGTGTTCATGTCATCTCCATTTAACAAATTCTGAATGATAATTTCGATATTTGGTAGCTCACAGAGGGCGCTCTTCAGTGATTTTTCCATGCACTCAAAAATGTCCGAATCGTTATTCATTTCGCAGTAGGTTTTTTTTAACTCCTTAAATATGGGTAGCAAACGAGTGTCTCCTTCCTTCCCTATCTCGTAGAACAAATTCGGCTTGCTTATTTTTTCGTTTCTTATTTTGATGGACTGGACTAGCGCATCGAAGTCGAACTGGTCGTGAACGCTCTGATTTTGATTTTCGTTTTCCTTCTTTATGGTAGAAGCACTCTCCACAATTTGGTTCTCTACTTTCACTTCCCTCCCTTTTTCGCCCTTCACCTTATTCTTGTCATCCTCCGTTGTGCTGTCGCTAACAGTGCCATCCTCCCCACTTACATTTCCCTTCCCGCTTAGCAATTGCTCGTTCATCAATTTACCCTTTTGTACAATTTCTTCCGGAATGGACGGACGCGTTAAAATAAATGCATAGGACAGGGCCTGCAACACGGTAGCGCTGTTCACTCCGATTCGCAATCGCTGTTGTAAAAAACGAACGATATATTTCGCTTCAGTAATTTTCGCACTCACCAACAGCTTCTTAATTACCTCTCTCTTTTTCTGCTGCGAATTAGAACCACTCAAATTTGGTATACTCTTCAGTTCATTAAATACTGACTGGATAGTCAAACGAGGCAAAGGAAAAATAGTTCTCATTTTGCAAGAACAACTTTCTGCTATTATGCCAAGATCCTCAATTTGTTGTAAATCCTTTTTTATGCTTGATTCAGTTCTACTATACGCCTCAGACATTGTTTTCAAAATGAGAGCTTCTCCTACACCTACTTCAACATTTAAATAATCAGGTGCTACTTTGTTTAGCGTTATGTACACAGCTGGAATTAAATCGTTGGGACTGTAGTATATTAGAACTCTGAAAACATTGGACAAGATAATTGCTACATTTTTCTTGCTACCAGTTCCACTTCCCTTTAGTTCTTCTATTTGGTTAAATGTATTTGTCAGAAAAGTGAACAATAAAGAATCCTTAAACTTGTGTTTTTCTTTATCCTTTTGCGAAAGGTATAAATTACTTACATCAAAATGTACGGGGTTAAATTTGGGTGATGTCAGATCGCTCACTTTGTCATCTTCCCTAACGGTGCAGTTAAATAGGGACCCTTTTTTTATATCATTTTCGCTCTTCCCTTTGGCCTTTTTCGTTCTTGTGTGTCCATCACTTGTTATTTTTCTCTTCGTTGTTTCTTTCTCTTCTTCCTTCACTTTGGATTCCTCCTTAACGTCCGTTTCTTCCTTCTGCTCATCCATTGTTTTGTTCGGGAAGGGCAGGCATTTCCTGCACAGGAGGAAAAGTCAAAAAAACCAAAGTGGTTAATCGTTCTACACGCAGAGGGGTGCGTGCAGATGTACACACAGCAACGGTTGTACGTGTATGGAAGCACGCTCTTGTACGCATCTCGATGTGTTAAAATGGGCAGAACATGGATGCCTCTACATCCTCAAGGACACACACGCACATATGTATATATATGTATGCATATACATATATGTATATATTTCTTTTTCATCTGCTCCGCATGCACAAGACACAAGTCAATGGCACTTGCTGAGGAAATGGCGCTTTCCCCATTTCGCACTCTCATCACTTTTTCTCTCTTTTAAAACTTAAAATGAGCATACAAAAAACCGCTGCGTCTATTCGATGTACTGTTTCGAAAGTTGGTGAAAACTTTAACGTTGAAATTTGTTTTGCGCCTGTAGAATTTATTCTTTTGCATAAGGGGTATTATATAAGCATATTCTCTTCTCATGCAACTGTTAACTTTGCACAAAAGCATTCTCGCTATGAGGAGTAACACGAGCAATTTCATGTTAGCACAGCTGCCTATACACTTGCACGCAGAGGCTATTTCGGGGCTAAGTAATGGTGCCCGTGGGTATTGGGCTCGCCGCAACAGGCAGCTCAACCATGCCGAAGCGTACAAATAAAATCATAGAAACCAATTCATGCAAGCCAGTTCATGCAAGCCAATTCACACAGACCACTCGGCGCAGCCTCTTGCAGATCTCTGGGGACACTCGTCGAATGACTGCCGGCTGTTCACTCGGCACACTCCTCATGTCCGTTCACCCCATATCATAGCACATTTCTTTCGCGCTACGATATCTTTCTCTCACTATTTAAGAGCATTTCTTAAGTTCACATGAGAATGAGTAAGAAACAAAATATGCTTATCTTTTTATTTATTAAAAACTCACTCTAAAGTTACTTGCTTAAGTC